AAATGTGTACAAGAGAAACAGCAGATTACCTTCAAAAGATTTCCATTTAGATTGACAGCTGATTTCTCAACAGAAACCCTACAGGTTAGGAAAGAATAGAGAGACATAGCCCAAGCTCTAAAAGAAAAAAATGTCAAACCAGAATACTTACTGTACCAAGCAAAGCTCTCATTTATAAGTGAAGGTGAAATAAATACCTTCCAAAACAAATAGAAATTGAAAGAATTTGTCACCACTCGTCCAACCTTACAAACATTACTTAAGGATGTGCTACACACAGAAACAGGGAAAGACAGTAAGCATCATGAAAGAATGTAAAGGCAAAAAATCTACTAAAAATACAAAGGAAATGCAAAACAAATCATAAGATTATTTATGGAAAAATGGCAAGACTGAGTTGTTATTTATCAATAATAACCTTGAATGTAAATGGTATACATTCTCAAAAGATACAAATTGGCTAAATGGATTAAAAAACAAGACCCCTCTATTTGATGCCTACAAGAAACACACTTCACCAAAAAGATATGCACATACTGAAAACAAAAGGACAGAAAAAGATATTCCATGTTAACAGAACTAAAAACTGAGCAAGAGTAGTCATCCTAATATCAGACAAAATAGACTTTAACACAAAAACTTTTAAAAGAGACAAAGAAGGGCACTAAATAATGATTAAGGGATCAATTCCACAGGAAGATGTGAATACAGTAAATGTATATGCACCCAATGCCAGGGCTCCTGGCTATTTAAAACAAATGCTAATGGATCTAAAGGGAGACAGAGGCTACAAAACAATAATAGTCGGGGACATCAACACCCCCCTAACTTTGATCAATGGACAGATCAACCAGACACACAAGTCAACAAAGAAGCAACAGAGCTGATCTATACTATTGACAAGATTAATCTAATTGATATCTACAGAACATTTTATTCCACAGTTTCAGAATACACATTCTTTTTATCAGTGCATGGAACTTTGTCTAGGATAGACCACATGTTAACAATAAATCAATCTCAACAAAATAAAAAAAAAAATTGAAATCATACTATGTATCCCTTCTGACCACAATGGAATAAAGTTGGAAATTAACAACTTAAGAAACTCTAGAAAACATGCAAACAAAGGTAGACTGAACAACATGCTCCTAAATGAACAGCGGGACAAAGAAGAAGTGAAAAGGGAAATAAAAGAATTTCTAGGAACAAATGAAGATGGCAATACAACACAACAAAATTTACGGGATACAGGAAAAGCAGTGTTAAGAGGAAAGTTTATAGCAGATAAGAGTCGGTGAACTCAAAAGGCTTCCATAGCCTTGGAAACTCATGACTGGAGCATAGGGAGATTACTGATGCCATAAACAGGAGTGTCAATTTGTACAGTCAACAAAAGGAGTCACTGTGCACTTACTCCTCATGTAGGATCTCTGTCCTTAATGTGCTGTACATTGAGATTTAATGCTATAACGAGTACTCAAACAGTATTTTTCGCTTTATGTTTCTGTGTGGGTGCAAACTGTTGAAAGCTTTACTTAATGTATACTAAACTGATCTTCTGTATATATAGAAAATTGAAAATGAATCTTGATATGAATGGAAGGTGAGAGAGAGCAGGAAAGGGGAGGGTTGCGGGTGGGAGGGAACTTATTGGGTGGGGGGAAGCCAATGTAATCCATAAGCTGTACTTTGGAAATCTATATTCATTAAATAAAAGTTAAAAAAAAAGAAAGTTTATAGCAATTAGTGCCTACATCAAGAAAGTGGAAAGGCATCAAATTAATTATCTAGTAATGCATCTACAGGATCTACAAAAAAAAAAAAAAGAATCAACTCCTAAATTAGTAGATTATTGGAAAGAATAAAATTAGAGAAGTAAATTGAAACCAAAAAAATACAAAAGATCAGTGAAATGAAGAGCTGTTTTTTTTTTTTGAAAAAATAAACAAAATTATTATACCACTGGTCAATTAACCAAAAAAGGGAGAAATTCTAATAAAATAAAAGATGTAAAAGGAGATGTTACAACAAAAACCACAGAAATAAAAAGAACCATGAGGAATTACTATGAACAGGTATGTGACATCAAACTGGAAAATCTAGAAGAAATGGATAGATTTCTGGACACATAAAATTTACAAAAACTCAGTCATGAAGACATAGAAAACCTAAATAGACCCAACAACCAAGATGGAAATCAATTCAATAATAAAGACCCTCCCAACAAAAAAAAAGCCCAGGACTAGATGGATTCACTCCTGAAGTCTACCAAATTTTTAAAGAAATAGTTCCAGCTGGCGCCGTGGCTCACTTGGCTAATCCTCTACCTGAGGCTCTGGCACCCCGGGTTCTAGTCCCAGTTGGGGCACCAGATTTTGTCCCTGTTGCTCCTCTTCCAGTCCAGCTCTCTGCTGTGGCCCCGGAGTGCAGTAGAGGATGGCCCAAGTGCTTGGGCCCTGCACCTGCATGGGAGACCAGGAGGAAGCACCTGGCTCCTGGCTTCAGATCAGCGCAGTTCTAGGCGCAGTTCCAGCCGTTGCAGCCATTTCGGGGGTGAACCAATGGAAAAAAAGGAAGAACTTTCTCTCTGTCTCTCTCTGTCTATAACTCTCTCTCTGTCTCTCTCTCTCACTGTCTAACTCTGCCTGTCAAAAAAAATAATAATTCCAATTCTTCTCAAATAACTGAAAGGGAGGGACTCCTCCCAAACTCCTTCTATGAGGCCAGCATCACTTTAATTCTAAAACTAGAAAAAAGATATAGGAAGAAAACATAACTACAGACCAATATCCTGATGAACTTAGATGCAAAAATTCTCAACAAGACACTAGTTAATCAAATACAACAACCATCAGAAAGATCACAAACCTGGACCAAGTGTGATTTATGCCTCGTATGCAAAGTCAAATTATCACTGTTTGCAGATGATATGATTGTATACATGTTAAGAATCCAGAAGCACAAGCAATAAAAGCAATAAGACAAATGGGAATACACCAAACTAAGAAGCTTTGCACAGCAAAGGAAATACTCAACGAAGAGGCAGGTGACATACGGGAGAAAATCTTTTAAACCTACACATCTGATAAAAGATTAATACCCAGAATATATAAGGAGCTCAAGAAACTCAAGATCGAAATAAGCAATTCAGTTAAGAAATGGGATAAAGTGCTGGAACTGTGGTGTAGTGGGTAAAGCTGCTGCCTTCGAGTCCTGCTGCTCCACTTCTGATCCAGCTCTCCGCTATGGCCTGGAAAAGCAGCAGAAGATGGCCCAAGTCCTTGGGCCCCTGCTACCACATGGGAGACCTGGAAGAAGCTCCTGGCTCCTGGCTTCGGATTGGCACAGCTCCAGCCATTGTCGCCAACTGGTGAGTGAACCAGCGGATGGAAGACTTTCTGCCTCTCCTGCTCTCTCTCTGTAACTCTTTCAAGTAAATAAATAAATCTTTTAAAAAAAAGAAATGGGATAAGGACATGAACAGGTATTTTTCAAAGGATGAAATACATATGGTCAGCAGACACATGAAAAGATGCTCAGGATCACTAGCCATCAGGGAAATGCAAATAAGAACCACAATGTTTCATTTCACCCCAGTCAGAATGGCTACCATCCAAAAATCAAAAAATAACAAATGCTGGTGGGGATGTGGGGAAAAAAGTACACCTAGTACACTATTGGTGGGAATGTAAACTAGTACATCCATTATGGAAGACAGTACAGAGATTCCTTGGAAATCTGAAAATAGATGTACCATATGACCCAGCAATTCCACTTCTGGGAATTTACCCAAAGGAAATGAAATGACCATATAAAAGAGTTATCTGTACTCCCTTGTTTATAACAGCTCAACTCAAAATAGTTAAGATATAGAATCAACCCAGATGTCTATCAACTGATGAATGGATAAACTGTGCTATACATACATGATGGAATATTACTCAGCCATCAAAAAGAATGAACTTCTGTGTTTAGCAACAAAATGGATGTAACTGGAGACCATAATGCTTAGTATAATAAGCCAGTCCCAAAAAGAAAATCATGTTTTCCCTGAGATGTGGTAATATAAAGAGTACAAAAAAATCTAACTTATATAAGCAAAATTTACATTTTTTAGATTTGATTATTTTTAAAAAAGATTTATTTATTTGAAAGGCAGAAACATGGAGAAGGAAAGAGAGAGGGAGAGAGAAAGAGAGAAAGAATGAATCTTCTATCCTATAGTTCACTCCCCAAATGGTCACAATGGGGCTGGGCCAGGCTGAAGCCAGGAGCCAGGAGCTTCTTCCAAGTCTCCCACATGGGTTGCAGGGACCCAAGCACTTGGGCCATCTTCCACTTCTTTCCCAGGCCAACAGCAGAGAGCTGGATCATAAATGGAGCAGCTGGGACTCGAACTGGCACCCTTATGGGATGCCAGCACTGCAGGTAGAGGTTTAACTTTCTATACCACAGTGCTAAACCATTGATTATTATTTATTTATAGCCCTTGTCTATACTCTTGAGGAACAGTGGTTCTTCTACTTACTACTTGGTGAATTCTTTATTTAGTGGAGAGTTAAGCTTGTGATTATAATTTGAAACTATGTCATTGTAAAAATTCAAAGAAGCCGGCACCGTGGCTCACTAGGCTAATCCTCCACCTTGCAACGCCGGCACACCGGGTTCTAGTCCCGGTCGGGGCGCCGGATTCTGTCCCGGTTGCCCCTCTTTCAGGCCAGCTCTCTGCTGTGGCCAGGGAGTGCAGTGGAGGATGGCCCAAGTGCTTGGGCCCTGCACCCCATGGGAGACCAGGAGAAGCACCTGGCTCCTGCCTTCGTATCAGCGCAGTGCACTGGCTGCAGCATGCCGGCCGCGGCGGCCATTGGAGGGGGAACCAACGGCAAAAGGAAGACCTTTCTCTCTGTCTCTCTATCTTACTGTCCACTCCACCTGTCAAAAAAAGTAAAAATCATTTAGTCTCTAATAATCAACAAATTACTTAATTTAATCCTAACCTCTTGATCTGTCATTGATGAGATACTCCTGAGGGATACTTTTTGAGACGGTCTTATGCTATAAAAAATGGAACATAATAGGATTAATTTAAATAAGCATTAAGAATATACTAGTATTAATTTAGAATATATTTAGGTTAACTTAAGTAAAGACATCACATAAAAGAAAACAAACTTTGCTTTAAAAATGGATATTATCGGGATATGAAGAAGTGGGTTTAGGAAGTTTATATTAATTAATGCAATCATTAAACACAGACTATAAGGTCAATGAAGATAAGCAGTTTGATATGTTTCGCATTTTGCTATTTTGCCAGCATTTAGAAATGCTCTTGGCATACAAAAACCCTCAATAAATATCTGTTAAACGACAAAATAGACAAAAATTTCATTTGGTGATTCCAATACAAGTAGATTAGAATATTATAAGGGATTAAAGATAAATTCAGAAGATGGTATTGCCTTTTAGGGTATCAAAAATCCACTGGAGAAGACAGATAAGGTTAATTTATATATTTACATTATGCTATATAATAAACAAGTTGCTATATTTAAATATATATTATATAGTAAAACAAATGTAATCATGTTAAAGAAAAGGAATATACCTACTCAGAGGAACAATATATAAAGAACTGCACAATATGAAAATAAGTGAGGTGGCATGGGTGGTAAAATATATGAGGTACTAGGAGGCCACATTAAAGGGAATGTTCAAGAAAGAATTCACAAAAATTAACGTGAATTCTCAGTCTCTTTTTGAAATACCAGCATGCAGTATTTATTAAAAATAATTTATTTACTTACTTGAAAGGCAGACAAAGAGAACAAGAGACAGAGAGAGATCTTCCATCTACTGATTCACACTCCCTGCAACAGCCAGGTCTGGGCCAGGCCAAAGCCAGAAGCCAGGAACTCCAAACTGGTCTCCTATATGGCTGGCAGGGTCAAAAGTATTTAAGCCATCATCCATTGCTTTCCCAGGTGGCATTAATAGAAAACTGGGTCAGCAACAGAGTAGCTGGGAATCGGGCTTTGATATAGAATGCTAGTGTTAGTGTTGCAAGTGGTAGCTTAACCTACTGTGACACAATGTTGTCCCAAATTCTGAGTCTTCCTGATAACTAAAAGCTTGCTGTGTGGACCTGGACTGATGTGGTTTAGATCAGAAGGGATTAGATATGGAGAAACTGGGTATGAGTATTCTAAAGAGAAGGATATAATGATACGTGAAAGAACAAAGTTTATTTGAGAAAATTTCAAGCAACTTTGCATGTTAAAGTTCAGGTAAAAGAAAACACGGTTGGAAATGAGGCAGAAAAGATATAGAGAAGAAACATTATGAAGTTCTTAATATAAAACATACTAAGAAATTGGACTTCAACAATTAAGGATTATAAGCAAGAAATCAACTTGATTGACTTACATTTGATAAATATTCTGTGGTAGTGATTTGTATTATGGACAAGTGGGTAGGACAAGAAGAAAAGAGACTAGCTGGAGGACTTTTAAAACGGCTGAGACCAAAAGTGACTAGAGGGGTGGGTGTCTGGCACTGTGCTTCAGACACCACTTGGTATATTAGCATCCCATACTGAAGTGCCTGGGTTTGAGTCCTGGCTCTACTCCCAATTCCAGTTTCCTGCTTGCTAATGTGCACCCTGGAGGCAGCAGGTAATGGTTCCAGTACTTGGGTGTCTGCCATCTAAGTGGGAGACCTGGATGGAGTGCCCGGCTTCTGACAGTTTCAGGCATTTGGAAAGTGAAGCAGTACATGGGAGACCTCTCTATCTCACATAATAATGAAAAACAGCCTTTCAACAGCACACTTAAAATGCTCAGGAAAAAAAGGTGAGGCCCTTGAATACGGGCCATGGCAGTGGCAAGAGACTCAGAGCTTTTAAGAAGTAAAACAGACAAGAATGGAAGGTGTTAAAATGGCTCCAATGTTCCTGATTTGCAAGATTGTGTAATTGTGATTATGCTGTATACACATAGGTACATGTGTGAACTAATAGGATACATATATTCACCACATGAGTGGAGAAGCCTATGGGTATATTGGAAAGTAATATGGACAAGTCAATATATAAAATGAATTATAGGGAACAAATGTATGAGAAAAAAGATGGAAGCAGATGGGAAAGTACCTTTGTGGGGATGTCTTTTAAAAATATAGCACTCATTTGCATCTAAAATCACCTATAGGCTGTGCTTATAATTCAGACAATGTCTAGCTCTTTAGATGAATTAATATATCTAAAGCGCTTAGAACAGTACTTAATAATTAGTAAGCTTTCAATGAATGTTAGCTATATTATAAATCTGAGTCATCTAAGAGCTTACTTTCCACTCTCACTTTTCTATTTCATTCAATTCTGAGTTCTAAGGAGGATTCAGTAAAATTCTCTGAGGTACAGATAACTTTCAAATTCTCCAATGCCATTACTCATTCAAAGCATTATGCTGGGGGCCAGCGTTGTGGCATAGCGGGTAAAGCCACTGCCTGCAAAGCTGGCATCCCATATGGGCGCCAGTTCAAGTCTCGGCTGCTCCATTTCTAATCCAGCTCTACTGCTATGGCCTGGGAAAGCAGAAGATGGCCCAAGTCCTTGGGTCCCTGCATTTGAGTGGGAGACCCGTAAAAAGCTCCTGGCTTCAGATTGGCCCAGCTCCAACCATTGCACACATTTGAAGACTGAATCAGCAGATGGAAGACCTCTCTCTCTCTCTGGCTCTGTAATTCTGCCTTTCAAATAAATAAATATTTTTTTAAAAAGCATTATCCTGAAGTAAAGACAATTTTTTTATTCAAAACAAGAAGCTAGAATCAGGCTTTTTTTTTTTTTTTTTTTTTGACAGGCAGAGTGGACAGTGAGAGAGAGAGAGACAGAGAGAAAGGTCTTCCTTTGCCATTGGTTCACCCTCCAATGGCCACCGCGGCCGGCGCGCTGCGGCCGGCGCACCGCGCTGATCCGATGGCAGGAGACAGGAGCCAGGTACTTATCCTGGTCTCCCATGCGGGTGCAGGGCCCAAGCACCTGGGCCATCCTCCACTGCACTCCCTGGCCACAGCAGAGGGCTGGCCTGGAAGAGGGGCAACCGGGACAGAATCCAGTGCCCCGACCGGGACTAGAACCCGGTGTGCCGGCGCCGCTAGGCGGAGGATTAGCCTAGTGAGCCGCAGCGCCAGCCGAATCAGGCTTTCACTAATTGCTTATTTGACCCAGGAAACATAAAATTTATCCACCTCAATTAGATATTACAGTGAGTTTTTCCTGGCTGCTTTAGAAAGATACCTCACGGAACAGAAAGCCAATGCAATCTGTTTCTAAAATGGACTTGTGAATAAGAGAAGAATTTGAGAAGGATAATGAAATTCACTAAAGGTCTAGGAACTGCCTGAGATGGACCTTCAAAATTTTCTCGTTATTTTCTTTGAAGAGTAGTAACTAATCAGACTCTGCCAAAAATCCATATTCTAATACAAACTTCAATGAACATATCTTTTTAAATATAGGGTTTCTCTTTTGTTAGCTTAATAAAAAATTATAATGTATCAAATTATTGTCAATATCTAATCATTAAGATGACATCTGGTTCTAAGATGCTACCATGATGAATACCTTACCAAAAATGATATATACTTATATTTGATATACTTAGGAGCAGCATCAGGCTCTGTGTTTTAAAAAGGGCTTTGTTTTTTAGCTATAAAATTCCCTTAAGATATAATTGATAAGAGATATAAACTAACTTTTTTTGAACTAACATTTTGAGGTGTGTCTCAGGCATTGTACTAGTTGCTTTATATTCCCATGTAGTCTTCACAAACTCTTCAAAGTAAATACTATCCCCTATAACACAGAGGAAGCACAAAGTTAAATAGTCTACAGTAACACAGCTAAGCTAATAGCAATTAGAGCTAGAATAGAACTCTGAAGCTGTCCAACTGCCAGGCCCATTCTTACATCATATTATACTACTGAATCAGAAATATAGAACATGTATGCCTTATATTTGGATAAAAGTTAGAAAGCTAAAGGAAATTTGTGTATTTCACTGACTTATCATGTGCTTCTTTTGAACTACCATCTTCACTTATAGTTTCTATTTCTTCCTCCTTCAGGGAAAAGAAAAATGTAATATTAGGACCAGGCTTACATATATATGAGAATAGGTAGTTTTCTTCAAGAAGCAAAAATATATCCATAAATTTCCTTAAATTTAATCATTAGAGGTTAATTCAGGGTACTTACTAATTACCTTTAAAGTCCAAATATCCCAATTACTCACATAATAGTTAATTCCTTTTCCTTTAACACCTAGTCAAGAGTTTTCCCAGATTAAGGGAAAAGGAGGTATAGTTGGTGGCTGACAAAAAAGGCAAGCAATAGATAATCAGGAAATAGCTCAGGCCAAATGAAATGTAGGAGAGTGTGCAGGGGCAGCAGTAAGTCCAAGGAATGGAGAAAGTCACAACTCAAGGTAGGATAACAGAGTATACATTCTTTCCCCCAAGGCAAACATCAGAACATTTGCTGTTAGGGAATTCAATACAAAATCAAATAAACTTGAAAGCATCCTCTTGTGCAGGTACTCCATAAACTCAACATTCTTGTTAAGTTAACCAACACATTTTACTGGCAAATATCTCAAGTGTAAAACAGAAAAAACAGGCCGGCGCCGCGGCTCACTAGGCTAATCCTCCGCCTTGCGGCGCCGGCACACCGGGTTCTAGTCCCGGTCGGGGCGCCGGATTCTGTCCTGGTTGCCCCTCTTCCACGCCAGCCCTCTGCTGTGGCCAGGGAGTGCAGTGGAGGATGGCCCAGGTGCTTGGGCCCTGCACCCCATGGGAGACCAGGAAAAGCACCTGGCTCCTGGCTCCTGCCATCGGATCAGCGCGGTGCGCCGGCCGCAGCGCGCCGGCCGCGGCGGCCATTGGAGGGTGAACCAACGGCAAAAGAAGACCTTTCTCTCTGTCTCTCTCTCTCACTGTCCACTCTGCCTGTCAAAAAAAAAAAAAAAAAAAAAAAAAAAAAAAAAAAACATACTTTGTTCTCCTTTGAACTCTAGCTTAGAAATAATGTATTTTTATACCTCAAGAATGTCAAAGTCTTCTTCAAGTTCTTCTAAAGAAACTTCTTCTTCTATGTTAAAAGAACACAGTGAACATGAGATGACTATTGCACTTAGATATGACATATATGGAATTTTAGAAGTATTTTATAAAACTGACTTCTCACCTCTAATTTACTCATTCTAATTTATTTTAAACATGATTTTAAGCTAATATTTTAAATGTATGGTTTTTACTGTATTATTCCTATTCAAAAACTTTCAGCTCTTCTTACCAAAGTTGAAAATCTTTAGTCCCCTCAAGATTTGTTCCCTAATGAATCTTTAATTTTATTTCACATGAGTCTCTTCCCTTGGAGATTCAGGGAAGTAAGACTAGTATTCAGGCCGGCGCCGCGGCTCACTAGGCTAATCCTCTGCCTTGCAGCGCCGGCACACCGGGTTCTAGTCCCGGTCGGGGCGCTGGATTCTGTCCCGGTTGCCCCTCTTCCAGGCCAGCTCTCTGCTGTGGCCAGGGAGTGCAGTGGAGGATGGCCCAAGTGCTTGGGCCCTGTACCCCATGGGAGACCAGGAGAAGCACCTGGCTCCTGCCTTCGGATCAGCGCGCCGGCCGCAGTGGCCATTGGAGGGTGAACCAGCGGCAAAGGAAGACCTTTCTCTCTGTCTTTCTCTCTCTCACTGTCCACTCTGCCTGTCAAAAAAAAATAATAATAATAAAAAGACTAGTATTGGGGTATTACTACTTGGCAGCATTCCAAGTGAAGGGAGTAAACAGCTAACTAAAATGTCATCATTCTAACAGATATTTATAGATTGCTCAAATATAAATTACTTAATACTACAATATTTTAATAAAAACAGAATGCTAAATATTAACATAGTAAATTTACATTGCAAAAATGGAGACCATTATATTAACTATATGAATATTTCAGGTGAATATGCAACCTGTACTGATCATTTTCTGGAAAATCAAGATGTTACATTGTGGTAACTTGAAGCACTTTATTGTTATTATACAACATTATATTGTTAATATATTATACAATAAAATGCTCAAGTTAGCATGATGTAAGTATTCTGTTTATCCACATTTGTGTAAAAAAGCCATTCTTAAGACTTTGTAGCTTAACAATTTATCTTACATAGTTTCGTGGGATGATAAACTGGGTTGTTCCCACTTGGGCTACCTAATAGAATTGTAATCAGATGGCAGTTGAGAGTGAAGCTATCTGGTCGTTACTCAGTGTCCAACAACGGGCTGAGTTGGCTGCAACAACTAGAAAATAGTCAAGCGTCTCTTTCTCTACACAGCCTCTTTATCTGCTTAGCTTGTGCTTTCTCACACAATGGAAGACCAGGGCAGACTTATTTTTAATGTTTATTTACTTACTTTCATCCATATGAAAAGCAGAGTAACAGAGAGCATGAGAGGACAAGTGAGACCAAGTGCACAAACTTCCACCCACTGGTTTGCTACCAAATGCCAACATTCACTGCTGGCCCAGAACAAAGCCTAGAACAACCAGAACTCCATCTGGGTCTCCCACATTGGCGGCACATCCCGGAGCCTGTGAGCTATCATCTGCTGCCTTCCAGGTTGCATTAGCAGGAAGCTGGATTGGACGCAGAGTAGCTATGACATAACCAGCACTGAGATGTGGGTGTCCCAAGTGGCAGCTTAACAAGCTGTGCCACAATGCCCACTCCTAGATTAACTTCCTAAAAGGTGACAAGTTTCTTCAGAGCAACAGTTTTCAAGATAGCCAGGAGGAAAGCCGCAAGGTGTCTGTGACTTAACTTTGGAAATTCTATAACATTATTTCTGTTAAAACCTAATGGGCAAAATAATCAGAACCTAAGCCAGATTCAAGGGAGCACAGGAAAAGATCCCATTTCTTAACAGGGAAATGACTTGTGTGTAGAAAAAGGAAGTATTAATGGTGATTGGAGCCAGCTACTTCAGTAACATTTTTTTGAGATTATATAAATTCAGCTTCTTACAGAATGAATATTCCATAAAAAGCATAAACTTGTCTTCCTAAAGAACTCACGGCCATGAACAGATTCATAATTTGATTATTTGATTTTCAATAAATATTCATGTTTAAAATGGATCTATTTCAGGAACCTAGCATTTGGCCAAAAGATTACATGCACTTCCGTGAAGCCAGGTGTGACCCCTGAACCAGCAGCATCAGCATCACCTGGGAACTTGTCAGAAAGGCAGAGTCTTAAGAAATCAGACATACAGAGAGATTCACATGCACATTAAAGTCTACACCGAGAGCCATCAAACTTATGATCTGAAGAAATCTGGAAACCATGAAGTGCTCCTCTTCCAATTCTGTGGGCAGAGAAGGATTTTAATTTTATTTTGATGGAGAAAATTGCTCCGTTAAATCTTTGGCAATTTAAAAACTAGATGTGTTCAGGGTAACTCTTGTGTTCATCAGACCTTTTGTATACATAGGGAAATGTTTATCAGTAATAGTTTTTAATCTATGAAAACTGAAAAGACCAAAACAAAAGTGTGCAAAGAACTTCAAGATACATAAGCAACAAATATACACTTGGTGAGTTACATGTAAAAACATATGGAAGATTTTTTGCCATTATTAGTGAATTACTTAAAAATGTTTAACAGCATAGCATCTTTGTCTTCTACATTAACTTGCTGAAGCTTACCAATGTCTATATAAAATTAAATTTAAAAACGCCCTTTTAGATAATTGAAAATATAGAGAGAGATCTTCCATACACTGGGAGATGGGAGGGTTGCAGGTGGGAGGGAAGTTATCGGCAGGGGTGGGGTGGGGTGGGGGAGCCATTGTAATCCATAAGCTGTACTTTGGAAAATTATATTTACTAAATAAAAGTTTTAAAAAAGCCCTTTTAATAGAAACAGTAAACTGTGAAAACATACCATTTTCTTCTAAAAATATATTTAGTTCATTCAGAGTTTCTTGCCTGTTTCTTCGTAGTGTATCATTCATGTTTACGATCTAAATTATAAAACAAATTAAAATATAAGAAAGTTCTCAAAAATCAAGTAAATTCAACATTAACCATCACTTAAATTGCCAATCCCTGGAACACTTAATTCTAATTTATGGAATAAAGTACTGCCCACTTCTGCAGGACTTTAAGTCAATTAAAACAAAAATTATTAGGCATTAATGTTTTAATCATCGATAATCCATATGTAAGCGCTACCTATAAAACTGAGTATTTAAATCCTTTATAAATAAAATAATTTCATTTAGGGAACAACTTGAAACTTCAAGTTGGTTTCCAAAAAGCACCAGATACAAGTACAAATTAAAATTTAAACCCAAGAATTTTTTTAAAGGGAGATATTGTATGGTTTCCCTAATCCACGTGGACTTTAAAAGCCAAAATCACACTGACTTCCTAGTGTGGAAAAGAAAGGCAAATATGCCTCTATCATAAATCAGCCAAAGTGGAGGAGAGACCTCTTTCCCACTTCACCATGGCACCATCCCACAGGCTCGAAGCTGAATCTGCTCCAAGGGGACGTGAGCCCCCTCTCGCAAGTCAACTTTCCTCACTGGTTACTCCCCATTTGTTGACAGGGCTTCTAGCTTTATTTATTTATTTATTTATTTTTTATTTATTTATTTTTTTTGGATAACTCACATTGTCTGAATTTTTCAAATAGTCTCAGAACTTGTGCTCTGTTTTCTCCTTTTTTTTAAACACTTCTTTGCTTAAAGATGTTAATGATGTGGCCAATGCCTGTGATGCTGGCATCCCATGCAGGTGCCGGTTCCTGTCCCAGCTACTCTACTTTTGATCCAGCTCCCTGCTAGTGTACCTGGGAAGGCACTGGAGGATGGCCCAAGTGCTTGGGCCCCTGCCACCCAGGTGGGAGAAACAGAAGCAGCTCCTGGCACCTGGCTTCTGCCTGGCCCAACGCTGGCCATTGCAGCTATCTGGGGAGTGAACCAGCAGATGAAAGATGTTTCTCTCTATAATTCTGCATTTCAAATAATAAATAAATACATCTTTTTTTCCTTTTTAAGATTTATTTATTCATCCGAAAGGCAAAGTTACAGAGAGGCAGATATATATAGAGATCTTCCATACACTCGTTCACTTTCCCGATGGCCGCAATGGCAGGAGCTGGGTCCATCCAAAGTCAGGAGCTTCTTCCGGGTCCCCCACCAGGATGCAGGGGCTCAAGGACTTGGGTCATCTTCTACTGCTTTCTCAGACCATAGCAGAGAGCTAGATTGAAAGAGGAGCAGCCAGGACTTGAACCGGCGCCCATATGAGATGCTGGCACTGCAGGTGGCCGCTTTACCCACTATGTCACAGCACTGACCCCAACAAATAAATCTTAAAAAAAAAAAAAAAAAAAAAAAGTTAACGGCCTCTCAGCCCTTAGAAAAAATTTCCCAAGTAAATGCCTATGACACTCTTTTATGATCAAGATACTCTTTCTAATCCAATCAATGTTTACTCCATTCCCTGTAACATCAACGCACTGGCACATGTTTTTTTCTGCTTTTCTTCCAGATAATTCCTTTTATGCTTTAGATTCGGGTTACTAGTTTCTTCCATAGCTTCTCCAAGTTGGGAGTAGGTATCGCTCTACACTCCTTATTATATGGTACATAAGGTTATATACCTTATGATAAATTGTATTGCAATTATTTTGTGTCCTTTAGAGGGCAAAAACGTCTTTGTGTTCAGTGCTGGGTGTGACACTCAAAAAATGTCATTTGAATAAACAAAGAAATGAAGATATAAGACACATTGGAAAGTCTGGTATGGTAATTTTGAGGCCAATTTGAGCAGTGTGAAAGGAATCTATTCTCCTACCCAATTTAAAAGCTTTTATGAAAAAGTGACCTGGTTCAGAGGCCTTTAATGGTTAATGGTAATGTAGACATAACTAACTCAAAAGAAGTCATTCCTGCTAATTAGGTCCTGCAGAATAATCAGTACAAAATAGTAAAAGACAAAATTACAGAGTGTTAGAAACGGCTGTGCACTTGGCAATCACTTGACAATCAAGTTCAGCATCTTAATTTCAGAGATGAAGAACTGGATTTCTGTAACAGCACAGTGAGGGAGAGGTTTTTCTAAATCCTAGTTTGTTTTTGTTTACTGAGATAAACCGTGGTAAGAAAAAAATAAATCTTCAAGAAATGGATTGAGATTGTTAGGGGAACTCTGACATGATAGGGTAGTAGTTCTCCAGGTGGATCTCATACAGTACAAAACAGCTGTATGCACTCAGGCAAATCATTTAAACACTCTGGGCTTCCAGTTTCTCGTAAAACTGGTCGGATAACTTCAAATATTCTTTTTAACCAATATGAATCCACCACATTGGCTTAGTTGAAATGCTCCAACGCCGAGACCAAGTGGAGTTCATTCAAACATTTTAAAGTGACAACTGGAACCCTAGACGGCAACTTTGGTTAAGCTGCAAGGTGTACTTACTTCCTTTGCAGCAGGTACTATTTAGAATTCATCTATTTTTGTTTACTTCAGGTAACCTGAGTTTATTTAGCAGCTCCTGCTGTCCCTTTCCACACTAAAAAAGGCTGGAGAAATCTTACAAAAATACAACGAAGAGTGAAGAGGTGAGTCAACTTTGGAGAGGAAAGAATGGGTTGTGTTTGCATTTTTGGTTAAGAAATGAAGGTTGTCGTGAGGTTGATTCCAATATCTCCAACAAGAGCTCAAAAAAATCTGGATAACATCATAATCAACTGGCTAATGAAAGTAACGAAAATCTGTTCGGCGTCAGGCTCAACTTTTCCACACAGTAAATCTCTTATGATCTTGTAGGCATGGCTGGACCGTTCACAGCTCCTTTCCCAGCAAATGTCATCAAAGAAAGGCCTTCCTCGTGGCTTTGGTGCCCTCGTGTTGGCTATGGCCAAGGTTGGGTACCTAAGCCGAAGCCTCCAGTCACAAGACGGCTTTGGGGAATTCCCAGACCCAGATCCTCCTCCCCAGACAAAGGGGCAAGTGGGTAACTCGGGTTATGGCTTTCCTTCCTCTCCGGATCTCTCTGCCTTGCTCTGAACTCTCAGAGCCAGCCACCCACCCTGCAGCAGCTGTTACCTCCGTCCTGGGAGCCACGGCTTCGCCGTCGCCACCCGCTCCAGCCATTTTGTCCGGCGGTGCTGCCGGGGGCCCTGCAAGGGCTTGTGGGGGATGGACGGCGGCGCGTGGCTTCTGCGTCAGCCTCGCCCTGAACCACGCGGACCCAGCTCCCAAAGGGCAGTCAGCCCACTGCCTTCTGCTTCCCCAGATCCTGGGGAACAAACACGTTGCCCAAAGTTAATCTACTCGAAGAAGCCTGTGTCGGCGTCAGGGCGCGTTTGGGGACTATAATTTGTTGCTCCAAAGGGTCAGCCTGTTTCTCACGGCCGGCAGTAGAGGGGTGCTGTAAGAACAGGAGCTCGGGGCAGAGTTACAGTAGTTCCTACAATCTTAAACTTGTCTGAAAATTAAATGAGGTACGTGTTTCACGTAGCCGGCAAACAGGTGGTAAAGACCTGCTGCCGGTATCAGCCTGAATTGGCAGAACTCAGGACTGGAATGGGAAAAAGAAATTCCATCATCTAAGTTAAGAAGTCACTGGAGGACTAATGCTGACCTTACTGCTAAAAAATACACAATTCTGCCTGGCTGGTGCAGATTATGCAAAGCTCATCATCCTTTGCATCTGTTTCTTTTCCCTCAATTTACCCAATTAATTAAAAGGGTTTACCGCGAGGGAGATGTCCCACGTTTATAAAAAGGGCTAAGGAATGGGGTTAAAACCAGTACTGGGGTCATGGGAGCGCAGGCCACAGGCAGAGTAACAGGCATTAAAATTTGTACCTCTTCTCATTAAGCTGGAAGGCAGAGAATACATGGAACTTCTGTCTCCAGTTCCCAGAAGCGGGCTAATTTTCTAAAGGAAATTCTAAAAAGTTTTTACATGGGTGAATTCCCAATAGTAGCATGTTCTAGAACAGCCTTTACAAAAGTTTTTTTAAACACATTTCATATAGAAAAGTTTGAATCCCAAATCACTTTTGTCCATAGCAATGAGGGTCAGTTTCACTGCATAAAGGATTTAACTGAACTAGTTTTAAAAACTTAATTAGTATACAACTTTTGGTAAATTTATTAAGTGTGCTTTCCTTGTGACTTCAAAACTTAAGGGCAAAGATCAAATTAGTAAATTTTTAAATACTTCTTAATCACTTGGTACTTAATGATTATGATTTTTAGTTATACTTTATTTGGAAGAAAAAAAGACATCTGAATTGCATGCATACTATTAGTCTATTTGCAGCCGTACTAATAATCTTCACAGCTTTCTGGATCTTTCTTTAAAAAAATGCCTTGTTCCTTTAACAGGCTAGAAGATTCACTTGTTAATTTCTTGTTTTGTTTACAATCTCAAAGCACAATTCTGTTAAAAAAAGGCCAGCCATCACATTCACAACTGTTAGTCTGTTAGCTGTTTTCATAACACAGGGGTCATGGTGCACTGCAAAAGCAGGGATCCAATAGACTTGCAAATCCTATCTTTCCCATCTCTAATCTTTCCTCTCCCATCTCTAATCTTTCCTCTCCCATCTCTATTTTAAGGATCATATCTGAAAAAAAGAGTATATTTTCTTTAAAAAAAAAAAAAGTACCTCTTAACACAATCACCCAAGACTTATTTTCAATTTGGAGTCTACAACTTAAAATCATTATAAACGGTGGTCTTCAGAATAAATGAATCGTCTACATTAGTTTATTTAAATTTTTACATTTTCTGAAAATTTTCAATATACAAAACCAGTGAAATCTTCATTTACAAAATAACAATTACATACATGATTAATACAAAGGCTTAAAAACTGACTCGTTTTCTGACCAAATCAATTGCACTAGTAACTAATTTTCTGCAACCTATTTAGTCATGTTGTTTCTGGAATATGTGTTAAGTGATGAAAAAATGGCCGACCATGAACACATCCTTTAATTTCATTTCCAAATTGATGCTTCATTCTGTAGATAATATCTTGGATGTCCTCTTTTGGTAAGTACATGGGTAACTGTCTAGATAAACGCACTGCTTCTCCCTGTGAAGAGAAAGGCATACATTTTTACTGTGATTTACTCTGAAGCAAAAACATGTTATTCTAGCCAGAAGGAAGACAGAAAATTTATATTATTTATTCACACTAGAAATATTTTTGAGCAGCAACTATTTTGCAGGTCCTAGGGATACAGTGGTGAACAAGAAAACAAAATCCCTCCTCTTGAGAAATTTATTCTAGTATACAGAAAAAGAAAACAGATGAAAAAGTCAATGAAAATTGTAGTCAGTAAATAAAGCAAAAAATTAAACTGGGCAATGTGACAGACAATGATTACATGGTTGGGAAAAGCTTACTTGAAGATGTGGCATTTACATTTTAATTTAAGTAGCAACCATCCTGCAAAAGCATCATGGGGGAGAAAGCACTTCAAGTAGAGAGAACCTGGAAGAACTAAATATTCAGTGTGTGCCCTACACAGTTGTTAAACAGCAGAGAGGAATGAGATAAGGGAGTTAGGGGCCAGATCACCCTCTAGAGCAGTGTGAACAACTGGAGTTTTAATCTAAAAGCACAGAAGGTTTTAAGCAAAAGCCTAACATTTCTTTCACACTCATACTGAAACAATCAGGTGGCTGCTGTGTGGAGTGGAGTGTGAGGTGGGTAAGAACTGAAGCAAGGAGTCTCTGAGCAACCACTGCAGTCCTGGTGAACAGCTATGGCTAGGATGATAGTCGCGGGGACAGAGGGAGGAATACAGATGCCTGCAGGCAGGCAGAGGACTTGCTGATGGACTGGTTATAAGGGATGCAGCAACAAGGATAATCTCCACATTTGGGGACCAGTAATGCTATTTTCTGGGATATGGAATATTGAATTTCAAAGATCTTGAATCATAACAGCCTATTCAACTCACAAACTTCTTACTCGTTTATTCCAACTAAAACTGTTTTTTACTCATTTTGATTTCTCCTCTCCAATCCTTCTGTATTCTGACCTACCAGCAACCCTCTGTAAATTTCCCCTAGTTAAGGCAGGAACAGTGAGATATTAAGGATACTAGCTATAACAACCTAATACTCTGTTAGATTTCCTTTTAGAATTTGTGGCCGGCACCATGGCTGTCTTGGCTAATCCTCTGCCTGTGGCACCGGAACCCCAGTTCTAGTCCCAGCTGGGGTGCCGGATTCTGTCCTAGTTGCTCTTCTTCCAGTTCAGCTCTCTGCTGTGGCCGGGGAAGGCAGTAGAGGATGGCCCTGCACCCGCATGGGAGACCAGGAGGAAGCACCTGGCTCCTGGCTTCAGATTGGCGCAATGCACCGGCCATAGCGGCCATTTGGGAGGTGAACCAACGGAAGGAAGACTTTTCTGTCTCTCTCTCTCTCGCTCTAACTGCCTGTCAAAAAAAAAAAAAAAAAAAAGAATTGAATTTGTATTCCACTAGTACTTAATGGTTTCTTGTGTGAGGGAACTTCAAAAAGTTGACGGCAAATTTGTGAGGGAGGAATGAAGAGAGAAGAGCGAGAGAGAGAGCCTATCCGTGGGTTTACTTCCCAAATTCCCCCAACATTGAGGGATGCAGATGGGCTAAGACCAAAGCTGGGAATTCAGTTCAGGTCTCCCACGTATGTGGCAGGAAACCAAATCTTAAGCCACTGACACTGCCTCTTGAGGAGGAAGCTGGTCAGAGCCAGAGCCATATATCAAATCCACATACTTGGATGAGGGACACAGACTTCTATCTTAATTGTTAGGTGGTGAAAAGCCCACCTAAGCATTATCTTTCAATTCCATTTCCCGTGAAGTTTCTAAAGTCCCTTGTATTTAATGGATTCACATTTTCCTCACTTACTTTCTTGTTATTCCATCATATCCATCTTTCCAATCGTTATGAAGGACTTCTTACAAGTTCTACCAAGCACTACTGGGAGTCAGTACTCCCAGATACTGTCCTGACTATATCCATTACAAATGCTTGCTCTTATGAGGTCACCAGGAAATTTTATTCTCTAATCAGCCTTCTTTTATAGTACCTACACCTCGTTTTCAGATCTTTATCACCAGACTAAAATTCCCAGTATCTTTCCAGCCTCTTCATTCTCAGCAGGTAACTTCTACTTCTACTCTTTCATCACCCTAAACATTTCACTTTCCCTGCCTTGTTCTACTCAATTCAAGTATAGTTTTCCCCTTCTAAATCTTGTATCCTTATCCCATCTTCCCTCCTGCCTCTTCTAGAACATTTGCTCTTCCAATAAAGATTGTCGGTCTTGGGGCCGGTGCTGTGGTATGGCAGGCCAAGTTGTCACTTGCAGCACCAGCATTGCATGTGAGTGCCAGTTCAAGTCCTAGCTACTCTACTTCCACTTTGGCCCCTTGCTAATGTGCCTGGCAAAGCAGTGGAAGATGTCCCAAGTACTTGGGTCCCTGCACCCATGTGGGAGACCCAGAAGAAGCTCTTGGCTCTGGATTGGCCCAGCTCCAGCCACTTGGGGAATAAACCAGCGCTTGGAAGGGTTTTCTGTCTTTCTCGCTCTCCTTTCTCTCTTTTGAATAAAAAAGAAAAATTACTGTCAGTCTTTTCAACCAATTCAGTACAAACTTGCTAAATATACTCTTTCCTACCTTTCACTACAACATGGCTTGATGTCTACTACCACTCTACTCTTTAACCACTGGAAAATGTCTTCCATCCCCACTGATGGCTGTTTTCAAGGTTATCACCATTTTGGTGGTCTTCCAGCTACCAGTACTCTATACAGATTGTCATACTACTTAGTTGTGTTTAAATTTCTCTCTTCCATGCGTTTTGTTATCTACTCCTTTCTTGGCTCTGCTTCCAGTTTTTACTTTTGATTTCTTATTCCACTTGGCTTAAATGGAAGTTATTGCTGTGGTTCTAACTTCTCTCCTTTTTTTTTTTAGACTATATTCCTTAGCAATCACATGCACTACTAATTTAATACAGCAAGAAGTATAGTATTAGCAAAAAAATTTTTTTCAATCCAGTCTCAACCATTTTTTCTCCATTATTTAAGAAGTTTTTTTCTCCTCCATGTTCAGTACACAGAACACTACTCACAACTCTAAATCTTAATTTAAGCTCTTGCTAACTCATACAAAAAAAATCCTTTAAAGTGTGTAGAAACTATTTTCAAACTGTCGCAGCAATAGCCTGAG